ACAAGATACATTGACGAGATTGAAACCTATGATGCAAAAGTGTGTGAACATTCTACATTTCATCAATTACACAAAGGCATGATGACAGCTTTCCTAGCTTATGTTACCTATTTACAACTCAAATATCGTGCAGAGTGAACAAATAAACCAAATGTTGTACTTAATTCCCTCGCCATCTTGGATTCTTTTGTTTTTGAAAAACCGCTATGATGTTTTTAATCACCCTACTCACGAAATTTAACCCTAACCCTAAAAACCCCAGTACACCTACGCTACATTTAACCCTAACCCTAATAATCCCCCCTTTATACACCTACGTGATATCTAACCCTAATAACACCCTCGTACACCTACACGGTATGAATAACTAATTATGAATATATGAATATGCAATGGTGCCAGTAAGGCGACCTACACTACTTTTGACCGCTCAGGGAACAAAAGTAGATAACATTTTGTCACATAATCGATAGTTTTTTTTTTCGACATTTCGATGTCACGAGACGTAATTTTAGGTATTTTAAAGACAAAACAAAGAACTTCTACAGCGCTCAAAAACGTTGATCGCTTTCACATCGAGAACTAGACTATCTTATACCTTGAAAAGGAAAGAAAAGCGTAGTGTTGTGTCGGAAATTACCAACGAGTGACCACGAGTGACCGTACGATGTGTTTTCATCAATATAATTAAAGCTAGTTTGAAGAAATTTGGAGGAGTCCTTCTCTTAGTTAAGTGTCTCACGTTTTTCATATACAGAAGTCTCTTATAATCGAATTGTGCAACAGGATGAAATGCATTGATGCCTGTCGGGTAATATTCGATTTTCCGTCGGAGGAATATGCTTGGACACGAACAAAGTGCTTGGCATTCGCTTAGCTTCCAGTGTAAATTCCAAGAAATACGAAGCATATTTTAGTGTCTCTGACGAATGGAGAATTGATTCTCATACTTATATGAGAATTCTTTAGGACAGTAGCGTCAACTTGATGAATAGGCTGATATTGGTAGTCGATGATAAGATATATCAGCATTGCCACGTAATAAAAGTCAATATTTTCATCCGCTGTACCTTTACTAAGAATAGGGATTTATATGCAAATTTCGCCCGCTTTTTATGTATCCTAGTTTTTCATTGTTCATATCTGGGGCCATCAAGGTTCAGGGCTCTTGTTAATTCTGATTTGGTAAAGTTCGAGACGGTGACTAAACATTTTTATTGTTCACCACCTGATTTCAGTCGTCATTCCTATATTTTTGTAATGTGTCTTCAAAAACGATGATACACAGACTTACGCCGCTCATTCCATTAACTCTGAATTACTCCAGCTAATTTTCGAAGGTGGCCGTCGTCTGTGAGAACAAATCCCAGGCTTTAGAAGAAATAGAAGACTTCGGGACCGAAATAATAAGCACTGAAAACGATGTTTTGTTTTGTTTTGTTTACACAGTATAATTGTTACTGTTGTCACGAATCTTGACCTGCTTCCGCTGAGAAAAATGACTACTAGAATTTTCATTTCCGTTTGGATTAGGGAGAGCGGGAGAAGGAGTTTTAAGGAGCGGAGGGTTTTACCACAGCCTAAGATCTTGATAATATCTCGAAAGTCAAAAGATGTACCTTCACTTCACGTTAACTTGAGCTCTTTGGCTCACTTGAGAGGCGTCTAAGCTAGATTAGGATTACAACGTTGAGCAGAAACTTAGTCATTAGAATGATAAAGGGATACAGCTGAGCTAAAAAACATCTTGCAATGAACTTGCATCCCGCACCAAACCCTCACTGACTAGTTTAAGACCAGCTTAAGCTTTCAAGAGCTCAGAAATGAATGTTTTTGACACATGCTCATATTTAAGAACTCGGCTGAGAATTCCTTTTGGTCTCGCATAGAAACCATCGCAGTTCACAACTTCTAACAAAACTAAATAGNTTCTAGCAGCAGCTCCACTGTCTCACTAAAGTCAAGTGGCGACAGCTCTATTGTCGCACTGAGTTCAAGTAACAGCATTTCCATTGTTCAACTGAGTTCAAGTAGCAGCAGCTCTAAAGTCCCACCAAGTTCACATACCAGCAGCTCTATTGTCGCACTGAGTTCAAATAGAAGCAGCTCCACTGTCCTACAAACGTTTAGCAGGAGCAGCTATATTTTCACGCTCAGCTTAAGTAGCAGCAGCTCTATTGTTACACTGAGTTCAAGTAGAAGCAGCTCCATTGTCGCACTGCCCTCACTTAGCAGTAGCTCCAGGGCCTCACCAAGTTCAAGTAGCAGGAGCCCTCCTGTTGCCATGAGTTCAGGTAGCAGCAGCTCCATTTTTGCACTTCTTAAGAGGCGTACAAAATGAATTAGGTCTACAGTGTCGAGTCGTCTTCATCAAAGTCGAGTAGAAATATAGTCATTCGAATGAAAGAAAAAGTTCCTTGTTTTTTCTTGCATCCATATGGAACTAAGACCAGTTTAAGTGCTTTAAAAGCACAGAAAAAGAGATGTTTTTCGATTGAAGCTCATAGTTCAAAACTCGGCTTAGAATTCCTTTTGGTCTCACCTGGAAACCATCGCAGTTCACAAGTTCTAACAATACCAAATGGGAGCTTGTTTTCCTCTTTTGCTCAGATTACCTCGATCTTGATAATGTTTGGGATAAACTGTTTCTATAGGCCTTAAGTTAAGTAACGTTTTCATATGTCCGTTCTTTGTGTTTGTTGCAGCTGCCTCCCCGATTCAAGTGAAAAATGATCGTAAGTATTAAACTTTCGTCTTAGATGTCTGCATTTAGAAAAATCTACAGTTTTGTTTTGTGTTTAAGTCTACAGGACCTCTCATTTCTACTATGGTAATAGTAAAAATTTACTGTGCCAGTATGAGGCACATTTTAATCTCTTTATTTCTGGAACTCTTTCAAGTTCGTCTGCACCAAGAAATCAAAGAGTGATTAATAAATTCTTCCTTTTTCAGCTTGCACATCTCCTGGAGGATCCATTAATGCTTCTAGTGGTCACATTTCCAGCCCCAATTTTCCCAGAAACTATACCGCAAACAAGACTTGTATCTGGAATATCACGGTACCCATTGGCAAGATCATAAAACTGATCTTCTTGAACTTTACCCTTGTAACAAATGAAACCGAGAATTGTACTGGAGCGGCGCCATCAAGCGCCCGAGTTTTTATTACAAACGTTGCTTCACATCAAGGAGATCCAAATGACTTTCAGCTTTGTGGTCAAAAGCTTTCCGACCCTGTATACTCCGAGGGAAATTTCATTCAAGTGAAATTTGAATCCCGCACCGGTCCTGTAAACAAAGGGTTCAATGCAACATTTGAGGCGATAGATGGAAATTCACGTAAGTACTTTTTAACTTTAATGAATAGTTAGTCCTTACNAATCACAGAGTTTACATGTCAGTGTCTCACTGAGTTCAAGTAGCAGCAGCTCTAGTGTCTCACCAAGTTTGAACAGCAGTAGCTCCAGTTTATCATTAACTTCACCAAGCAGCACCTTTATTATCTCACGGACTACAAGAAGCAACAGTTCAACTTTCCCACTAAGTTTAAGTGGGAACAGCTCAATTGTCTCACAGAGCTCCGCTAGCAGCAGTCCCAATGTTTCACCAGGTTCAGGTAGCAGTAGCTCCACTTTTTCACAAAGTTCAAGCAGCAGCAGCACCTCCATTAACGTACTGAGTATAAGTAGCAGCAGCTCCAATGTCAAACTTAGTTCAAGTAGCAGCAGCTCCACTGTCTCACCAAGTTCATACAGTAGCAGCTCCATTATTGCTCTGAAATCGAGAAGCAGCAGTTCCATTGTCACAAAAGGTTCAAGTAGCATCGGCTTTATTGTCCCACTCATTTCAAGTAACAGAACCAATGCCATTGTCTCACAGAGTTCAAATAGCACCAGCTCCATTGTCACACTAGTTTCAAGTAGTACCAGCTTCAGTGTCTTACTAATTGCAAGTAGGCGCGTCACCATTGTCTCACAGAGTTCAAGTGGAAGCAGATCCACCGTCCCTCAGATTTCAGAAAGTGGTAGTGCCAATGTCTCACTGACTTCAAGTAGTAGCAGTTCTACTGTTTCACAAAGTCCAGGTAGCAGAAGCTCCAGTATCACGCTCATTTCAAGTAGCAGTAGCTTCATTGCTATTGTCTTACAGAGATCAAGTAGCAGTAGCTTGATTGTCTCAACGAGTTCAGTAAGCAGCAGTTCCATTGTTTTGCTGGGTTCGAGTAGCAGCAGCTCCATTGTTGCACTAAGTTTGAGCAGCAGCAGCGCCATTGTCGCAAAGAGTTCAAGCAGCAGCAGATCTAGTGTTTCATCGAGTTCAAGTAGCAACAGCACTCCCCTTACCCTGATTTCAAGTAGCAGCAGCTCCATTGTTACACTGAGCTCAAGAAGCACCAGCTCCTCTGTCTCACTAACGTCAAGTAGCAACAACTCTACTGTTGCACTGACTGCAAGTAGCAGCAGTTCCATTGTTGCACCGAGTTCAAGTAGCAGCAGCTCTCCTGTTGCACTTAGTTCAAGTAGCAGCAGTTCCATTGCCGCGCCGAGTTCAATTAGCAGCAGCTCTAGTGTCTCACTAGGTTCAAGTAAAAGCAGCCCCTCTGTTGCCTTGAGTTCGATTGGTAGCAGCTCCACTGTCTCACGTAGAAGCAGCTCTAATTTCGCACTGACCTCAATTAGCGGCAGCTCTAATGTCTCACCAAGCTCAGTTACCGGCAGTTCGCCTGTTGTACCAGGTTCAAGAAGCAGCAGCTCCATTGTTGCACTAAGTTCGAGTAGAAGCAGCTCTGTTGTCGCACTGAGTTCAAGTAGCAGCAGCTCTACTGTCTCACCAAGTACAGCTAGCGGCAGTTCTCCTGTTGCGCTAAGTTCAAGAAGCAGCAGCTCCATTGTTACACAGAGTCTAAGTAACGACAGTTTTATTGTCTTACAGAGTTCAAGTAGCAGTAGCTTTAAATTCTTAACAAGTTCAAGCGGCAGCAGCTCCATTCTTAAACTGAGCTCGACTGGCAGCAGCTCCGTTATCGCACTCAATTTAAGTAGCAGCAGCTTCTTTTTCGCACTGGGTTCAAGTGGCAGCAGCTCAAAAATCGCACTGAGTTCCAACAGCAGCCGTTCCTCTGTCACACTGAGTGAAATTACCAGCACCTACAGTGTCTCACCAACGTCTACTAGCAACAACATTCCTGTTGTCCTGGTTTCAAGTAGCAGCAACTCCATTGTTGCTCTGAGTTCAAGTAGCAGGAGCTCTAGTGTCTTACTAGGCTCAAGTAGCGCCAGTTCTCCTATTGCACTGAGTTCAAGTAGCATCAGCTCCATTGTCGCAACGAGTTCAATCAGCAGCAGCTCTAGTGTCTCATCGAATTCAAGTAGCAGTAGCCCTCTCGTTGCCCTGATTTCAGGTAGCAGCATTTCCATTGTTGCACTGAGTAGCAGCACCTCCGCCATATCATTCATGTCAAGTAGCAGCATATCTATTGTTGTACTGAGTTCAAGTAGCAGAAGCTCCATTGTTGCACCAACCCCAAGTAGCAGCAGCTCCATTGTTGAACTGTTTTCTGGTAGCAGTAGCTTCACTGCCTCACTAACGTCTAGTAACAGCACTTCTAATGTCCCACTGACTTCCTGTAGCAGTTGCTCCATTGTTCCACCAAGCTTAAGCAGCAGCAGCTCTAGTGTCCTACCAAGTTCACGTAGCAGCAGCTCTCCTGTTTCACTAGTTCCAAATAGCAGCAGCTCCACTGTCTCACTAACGTCAAGTAGCAGCAGCAGTAGCTCAATTGTCGCACTAAATTTAAGCAGCAGCAGCTCTATTGTTGCACCGAGTTCAAGTAGCAAGAGCTTTCGTTTCATAACAAGTTTAGGCAGCGGTAGCTTCATTGTTGCACCGAGTTCAAATACTAAAAGCTTTAGTGTCATACCAAGTTTAGGTAGCAGCAGCTCTCCTATTGCACTGAGTTCAAGTAGCAACACTTTCATTGGTGCACCGAGTTCAAGTAGCAGCAGCTCTACTTTCTCACTAACCTCAAGTAGCAGAAACTCTAATGTCGCACTGGGTTCAAGTGGCAGCAGCTACATTGTTGCACCAAGTTCAAATGACGGCAGCTTTAGTGTTTCATCAACTTTAAATAGCAGCAGCTCTCCTGTTGCACTAAATCCAAGTAGCAGCAGTTCCATTCTTGCAGTGGGTTTGAGTAGCAGCAGCTCCTCGGTCTCACTGACGTCAAGTAGCAGCAGCTCTATAGACGCAACAAGTTTCATTAGCAACAGCTCTAATGTTTCACAAAGTTCAGGTAGAAGCAGCCCTGCTATTGTTCTGATTCCAAGTATCAGCAGCTCCATTGTTAAATTGAGCTCAAGTAGCAGGAGGTCCGCTGTCTCACTAACGTTACGTAGCAGCAGCGCTATTGTCATGCTGAGTTCAAATAGTAGCAGCTCCATTATTGCACCTATTTCAAGTAGCAGCAGCTCTAATGTGTTACCAAGTTCAAGCAACGGCAGCTCTCCTGTTGCACTGAAATCAAGTGGCAGCAGCTCCACTGTCTCACTAACTTTAGGTAGGAGTAGCACTATTTTCCCACTGAGTTCAAGTGACAGCAGCTCCATTGTTGCACCGAGTTCAACTAGCAACAGCTTTAGTGCCTTACCAAGTTCAAGTAACAGCAGCTCTCCTATTGCAGTGATTTTAAGAAGCAGCACCTTCATTGTTGCCCCGATTTCAAGTAGCAGCAGCTCCACTATCTCATTAACGTCAGATAGCAGCAGCTCAATAGGGACACTCTCTTCAAGTAGGAGCAGCTCAATTGTTGCAACGAGCTCAAGCGACAGCAGATCCAATTTCTTATCAGTTTTAAGTAGCAGCAGCCTTCCTGTTCTCCTGATTCCGCGTAGCAGCTCCAATGTTGCACTAAGTTTGAGTAGCCGCAGCTCCTCTGTCTCACTAACGTCAAGTAGCAGCTGCCTTACTCTCTCACTAATATCAAGCAGCAGCAGCTCCATAGTTCCTGTGAGCTCGAGTGGCAGCAGCTCCATTGCTGCTTCAAGATCAAGTAGTAGGAGCTCTAGTGTCATGTCATCATCAAGTAGCAGCGGCCCTCCTATTCTCCTGATTCCAAGTACCAGTAGCTCCATTGTTAAATTGAGCCTAAATAGCATTAGCTCCACTGTCTTACTAACGTCAAGTAGCAGTAACTCTATCGACACAACGAGTTCAATTAGCAGCAGCTCCATTCCTGCACCGAGCCTAAATAGCAGCAGCTCTAGTGTCTTACCAAGTTCAAGTAGCAGCAGATCCATTGTTTCACTTAGTTCAAGTAGCAGCAGCTCTACAATCTCACTAACGTCAAAGAGCAGCAGCTCTATTGCCACACTAATCTCAAGTGGCAGGAGCTTTCCTGTTGCACTGGGTTCAATTATCAGCACTTCCATCGTCGCATCGAGCTCAATAAGCAGCAGCTCCGATGCCTCTCAAGGCTCACGCAGCAGCAGCCCTCTTGTTGCCCTGATTTCAAATACAACCAGTTCCATTGCTTCACTGAGTGCAAGTACCAGCGCTAGCAGCCTTACTGTCTCACTAATATTAAGTAGCAGCAGCTCTATAGTAACAATAAGTACCAGAAGCTCCATAGTTGCACTGAGTTCAAGTAGGAGCAGCTCTAAAGTCTCACTTACGTCAAGTGGCAGCAGCTCCATCGTCGCACTAAGTTCAAGTGGCAGTAGCTCCACTGTAGCACCAAGCTCAAGTAGCAGCAGCACTAGTGTCTTAAGAAGTTCAAGTAGCAGCAGGTCCACTGTCTCACTATCGTTAAGTAACATCAAATCTTCCGTTGCACTAAGTTTGACTAGCAGCAGCTCCACTGTCTCACTAACGTTAAGTTGCAGTAGCTCTAGAGTCGAACTGAGTTCAAGTACCAGCAGCTCTATCATTGCACTGAGTTCAAGTAGCAGCAGCTCTAGTGTCATATCAAGTTCAAGTAGCAGTAATTCCCCTGTTATACTGAGTTCACGTAACAGCAGTTTTATTATTGCAACGAGTTCAAGTAACAGTAACTCTACTGTCTCGCTAACTACAAGTAGCAGCAGCTTTATTATCGCACTGAGTTCGAGTAGCAGGAGCTCCATTGTTCGACCAAGCATAAGTAACAATACCTTTAGTGTCTTGCCAACCTCAAGTAGCAGCTCTCCTGTTGCGCCAAGTTCAAGTGGCAGCGGCTTTAGTGTTTCATCAAGTGTAGATAGCAGTAGCCCTCTTGTTGCCCTCAATCCAAGTAGCAGCAGCTCCATTGTTACAATGGGTTCGAGTAGCAGTAGCTCCTCGGAATCACCAACATCAAGTACCAGCAGCTCTATTTTTGCACCAATTTCAATTAAAACGAGCTCCAGTGTCTCATTAAGCTCAGATAGCAGCAGCCCTCCTGTTATCCTGATTCCAAGTACTAGCAGCTCCATTCTTGAGTTAAGCTCAAGTAGCAGCAGTTCCACTGTTTCAATTACGTCAAGTAACAGCAGCTCTATTGTCACGTTTAGTTCAAGTAGCAGCATCTCCATTGTTACGCTGAGTTCAAGTAGCAGCAGCTCGACCGTCTCACTAAGATCAAGTAGTAACAGCTCTAGTATCATACCAAGCTCAAATAGCATCAGCTCTCCTGTTGTAATACGTTTAGATAGCAGCCGACTTTTTGCCCTGATTTCAAAAAGCACCACTGTTATTGTTGCACTAAGTTCGAGTACCAGCAGCCTCACTGTCTCACTAACATCAATTGGCAGCAGCTCTATAGTCGCACCAACATCTCCTGTTGCACTAAGTTTAAGTAGCAGCAGCCTTACTGTCTCACTAACATCAAATGGCAGCAGCTCTATAGTCGCACTAACTTCCAGTAACAGCAGCTCCACTGTCCCCCCAACTTCAAGTAGGAGTAGCTCTATTTTCGCACCGACTTCAAGTAGGAGCAGCTCTAGTGACTTACTAAAATCAAGCATCAACAGCTCTCTTATTGCACCGAGTTCAAATGGCAGAGGCGTCACTGTCTCGCTAACGTTAAATAGAAGCAGCTCTATTGTCGCACTAATATCAAGCGGCAGCAGCTCTAGTGTCATACCAAGTTCAACCAGCAGCACCTCTCCCGTTGCACTCAGTTCAACTAGCAGCAGTTTCATTGTTGAACCGAGTTCAAGTAGCAGTGGCTCTAATGTCTCACTAACTTCAAGTAGTAGCAGCTCTAGTGTCTTAGCAAGTTCAAGTAGCAGCAGTTTAATTGTTGAAACGAGGTCAAATGGCAGCACCTTCACTTTATCATTAAGTACCTCTACTGTTGCACTGAATTTAAGAGGCAGCAGCTCCACTATCTCACTAATATCAAGCAACAGCAGCTCTAGTGTCATACCAAGTTCAAGTAGCGGCAGCTCTCACGTTGCACTGAGTTCAAGTAGCAGCAGTTTCATTGTTACACCGATTTCAAGTCGCAGCAGCTCTACTGTCTCACTAATATCAAGCAGCAGCAGCTCTAGTCCTACACCAAGTTCAAGTAGCAGCAGCTCTCCCATTGCACTAAGTTTAAGTAGCAGCAGTCCTACTGCTGCACCGAGTTCAAGTAGTAGCAGCTCTACTGTCTCACTAACTTCAAGTAGTAGCAGGTCTAGTGTCTTGGAAAGTTTAATTAGCGGCAGCTTTATTGTTGCATCGAGGTCAAGTGACAGCACCTTTAGTTTATCATTGAGCAGCTCTACGGTCGCACTGAGTTTAAGTAGCAGCCGCTTCAATGTCTCACTAATATCAAGCAGTAGCAGCTCTAGTGTCATACCAAGTTCAAGTAGCAGTAGCTCTCAGGTTGCACTAGGTTTAAGTAGTCGAGGTTTCACTGTTGCACCCAGTTCAAGTAGCAGCAGTTCTGATGTCTCACTAACTTCAAGTAGTAGCAGCTTTAGCGTCTTGGAGAGTTCAAGTAGCAGCAGCTTTATTTTTGTACCGATGTCAAGTGGCAGCACCTTTAGTTTATCATTGAGTAGCTCTACTATTGCACTGAGGTTAAGTAGCAGCAGGTCCACTGTCTTACTACTATCAAACAGTAGTAGCTCTAGTGTCTTACCAAGTTCAAGTAGCAGCAGCTCTCCCGTAGCACCGAGTTCAAGTGGCAGCAGTTTCATTGTTGCACCGAGGTCAAGTAGCAGCAGCTCTTCTGACTCACTACCTTCAAGTAGCAGCAGCTCTAGTGTCTTAACAAGCTCAAGTAGCAACCGCTTGTTTGTTGCACCGAAGTCAAGTAACAGCACCTTTAGATTATCATTGAGTACCTCTACCGTCACACTGAGTTTAAGTCGCAGCAGCTCCACTGTCTCACTAATATCAAGCAGCAGCCGCTCTAGTATCATACCAAGTTCAAGAAGCAGCATCTCTTCCGTTCCACTGAGTTCAAGTAGCAGCAGTTTCATTGTTGCACCGAGTTCAAGTAGCAGCAGCTTTACTGTCTCACCAACCTCAAGTAGCAGCAGCTCTCTTGTCTTACAAAGTTTAGGTAGCAGCGCCTCCAATTTTGCACCGAGGTCAAGTGGCAACAGCTTTAGTTTCTCCTTAAGTATCTCTATTGTTGCAATAGCTTCAAGTAGCTCCACTGTCCTACTAATATCAAACAGCAGCAGCTCTAAGGTTATACCAAGTTCAACTAGTAGCAGCTCTACTGTTGCACCGAGTTCAAGTAGCAGCAGCTTCATTGTTGCCCCGAGTTCAAGTAGCAGCAGCTCTACTCTCTTACCAAGTTCAAGTAGCAGTGGCTCCGTCTCTGCACCGAGTTCAAGTGGCAGCAACCTTAGTTCCTCATCAAGTAGCTCGATAATCGCACTGTGTTCAAGTAATAGCAGCTCCACTGTCTTACTAATATCAAGCAGGAGCAACTCTAGTGTCATACTAACCTCAAGTAGCAGTAGCTTTCCTGTTGCACTGATTCTAAGTAATAGCAGTTTCATTATTGCACCGAGTTCAAGTGGCAACAGCTCTACTGTCTCACTAACCTCAATTACTAGCAGCTCTAGTGTCTTAGCAATTTCGAGTAGCAGCGCCTTTATTATTGCACCGAGTTCAAGTGGCAGCACCTTTAGTTTCTCATTGAATAGCTCTACTGTCGCACTGAGTTTAAGTCACAGCAGCTCCACTGTCTCACTAACATCAAGCAGCACCAGCTCTAGTGTCATACCAAGTTCAAGCAGCAGCAGCTCTCCAGCTCCACAGAGTTCAAGTAGCAGCAGTTTCATTGTTGAACCGAGTTCAATTAGTAGCAGCTCTGGTGCCTTAGCAAGTGCAAGTAGCAGTGGCTTTATTGTTGCACAGAGGTCAAGTGGCAGCACTTTTAGTTTATCATTGACTAGATCTACTGTCGCACTCATTTTAAGTAGCAACAGCTTTACTGTCTCACTAATATCAAGCAGCAGTAGCTCTAGTATCATACCAGGTTTAATTAGCAGCAGCTCTCCCGTTGCACTGAGTTCAAGTAGCAGCAGTTTCATTATTGCACCGAGTTTAAGAGAAAGCAGCTCCACTGTCTCACCAATATCAAGCAGTAGCAGTTCTAGTGACATAACAAGTTCAAGTAGCAGCAGCTCTCCCGTTGGACTGAGTTCAAGTAGCAGCAGTTTCATTGTTGCACCGAGTTCAAGTGGCAGCAGCCCTGCTGTCTTACTAACCTCAAGTATTAGCAGCTCTAGTGTCTTGGCAAGTTCAAGTAGCAGCGACTTTTTTCTTGCACAGAGGTCAAGTGGCAAAATCTTTAGTTTATCATTGAGTAACTCTACTGTCGCACTGAGTTTAAGTCGCAGCAGCTCCACTGTCTCACTAATATCAAGCAGCAGCAGCTCTAGTATCATACCAAGTTCAAGTAACAGCAGCTCTCCCGTTGCACTGAGTTCAACTAGCAGCAGTTTCATTATTGCACCGACTTCAAGTAGCAGTAGCTCTACTGTCTCACTAACTTCAAGTAGTAGCAGCTCTAGTGTCTTAGAAAGTTCAAGTAGCAGCGGCTTTATTGTTGGACCGAGCTCAAGTGGCAGTACATTTAGTTTATCATTGAGTAGCTCTACTCTCGCACTGAGTTTAAGTCACAACAGCTCCACTGTCTCACTAATATCAAGCATCAGCAACTCTAGTATCATACCACGTTCAAGTAGCAGCAGCTCTCTCGTTGCACTCAGTTCAAGTAGCAGCAGCTCTCTTGTCTCACTAACTTCAAGTAGTAGCAGCTCTAGTGTCTTAGAAAGTTCAAATAGCAGCGCCTTTATTGTTGCACCGAGGCCAAGTGGCAGCACATTTATTTTATCATTGAGTAGCTCTACCGTCCCACTCAGTTTAAGTCACAGCAGCTCCACTCTCTCACTAATATCAAGGAGCAGCAGCTCTAGTATCATACCAGGTTCAAGTACCAGCAGCTTTCCCGTTGCACTGAGTTCAAGTAGCAGCAGCTCCACTATCTCACCAATATCAAGCAGCAGCAGTTCTAGTGTCATAACAGGTTCAAGTAGCAGCAGCTCTCCCGTTGGACTGAGTTCAAGAAGCTACAGTTTCATTGTTGCACCGATTTCAAGTGGCAGCAGCTCTGCTGTCTTACTAACCTCAAGTAGTAGCAGCTCTAGCGTCTTAGCAAGTTCCAGTAACAGCGAGTTTCTTTTTGCACCGAGGTCAAGTGGCAGCATCTTTAGTTTATCATTGAGTAGTTCTACTGTTGTACTGAGTTTAAGTCGCAGCAGCTCCACTGTCTCACTAATATCAAGCAGCAGCAGCTCTAGTATTATACCAGGTTCAAGTAGCAGCAGCTCTCCCGTTGCACTGAGTTCAAGTAGCAGCAGTTTGATTGTTGCACCGACTTCAAGTAGCAGCAGCTCTCTTGTCTCACTAACTTCAAGTAGTAGCAGCTCTAGTGTCTTAGAAAGTTCAAGTAGCAGCGGCTTTATTGTTGGACCGAGCTCAAGTGGCAGTACATTTAGTTTATCATTGAGTAGCTCTACTCTCGCACTGAGTTTAAGTCACAACAGCTCCACTGTCTCACTAATATCAAGCATCAGCAACTCTAGTATCATACCACGTTCAAGTAGCAGCAGCTCTCTCGTTGCACTCAGTTCAAGTAGCAGCAGTTTTACTGTTGCATCGAGTTCAAGTAGCAGCAGCTCTACTGTCTCATCAACCTCAAGTAGCAGCAACTCTAGTGTCTTACAAAGTTTAAGTAGCAGCGCCTCCATTTTTGGACTGAGGTCAAGTGGCAGCAGCTTTAGTTTTTCTTTAAGTAACTCTATTTTTGCATTAATTTCAAGTACGAGGAGCTCCACTGTCCTATTAATATCAAACAGCAGCAGCTCTAATTTCATACCAAGTTCAATTAGCAGCAGCTTTACTGTTGCACTAAGTTCAAGCAGCAGCAGCTTCATTGTTGCCCGGAGTTCAAGTAGCAGCAGCTCTACTGTCATACCAAGTTCAAGTAGCAGCGGCTCCATTTCTGCACCGAGTTCAAGTGGCAGCAGCCTTAGTTTCTCATCAAGTAGCTCTATAATCGCACTGAGTTCAAGTAGCAGCAGCTCCACTGTCTTACTAATATCAAGCAGCAGCAGCTCTAATGTCATACTAACTTCAAGTAGCAGCAGCTCTCCTTTTCCACTGAGTTTAAGTAATAGCAGCTTTAGTTTTTCTTCAAGTAGCTCTATTTTTGCATTAATTTCAAGTACCAAAAGCTCCACTGTCCTACTAATATCAAACAGCAGCAGCTCTAATTTCATACCAGGTTCAATTAGCAGCAGCTTTACTGTTGCACTGAGTTCAAGCAGCAGCAGCTTCATTGTTGCCCGAAGTTCAAGTAGCAGCAGCTCTAATGTCTTACCAAGTTCAAGTAGCAGCGGCTCCATTTCTGCACCGAGTTCAAGTAGCAGCAGCCTTAGTTTCTCATCAAGTAGCTCTATAATCGCGCTGAGTTCAAGTAGCAGCAGCTCCACTGTCTTAGTAATATCAAGCAGCAGCAGCTCTAGTGTCATACTAACCTCAACTAGCAGCAGCTCTCCTCTTCCATTGAGTTTTAGTAATAGCAGTTTCATTATTTCACCAAGTTCAAGTGGCAACAGCTCTATTGTCTCACTAATTTCAAATAGTAGCACCTCTAGTGTCTTAGCAATTTTAATTAGCAGCGGCTATATTATTGCTCCGAGTTCAAGTGGGAGCCGCTTTAGTTTATCATTGAGTAGCTCTACTGTCGCACTGACTTTAAGTCCCAGCAGCTCCACTGTCTCACTAGTATCAAGCAGCAGCAGCTCTAGTGTCATACCAAGTTCAAGTAACAGCAGCTCTCCCGTTGCACTAGGCTCAAGTAGCAGCAGCTCTACTTTCTCACTAACCTCAAGTAGTAGCAGCTCTAGTGTCTTTGAAATTTCAAGGAGCAGCGGCTTTGTTGTTCCACCGAGGTCAAGTGGCAGCACATTTAGTTTATCACTGAGTAGCTCTAGTGTCGTACAGAGTTTAAGTCGCAGCAGCTCCACTGTCTCACTAATATCAAGCAGCAGCAGCCTTAGCGTCATATCAAGTTCAAGTAGCAGCAGCTCCTCGGTTGGACTGAGTTCAAGTAGCAGCAGTTTTATTGTTGCACCGAATTCAAGTAGCAACAGCTCTACTCTCTCACTAACTTCAAGTAGTAGCAGCTCTATTGCCTTAGCAAGTTCAAGTAACAGCAGTTTTGTTGTTGCAACGAGGTCAAGTGACAGCACCCTTAGTTTATCGTCGAGTAGCTCTGTAGTCGTACTGAGTTTAAGTAGCAGCAGCTCCACTGTCTCACTAAAATCAAGCAGTAGCAGCTCTAGAGTCATACCAAGTTCAAGTAGCAGCAGCTCTCCCATTGCACTCAGTTCAAATAGCAGCAGATTCATCGTTGCACCGAGTTCAAGCAGCAGCAGCTCTACTATCTCACTAATATCAAGCAGCAACAGCCTTAGTGTCATACCAAGTTCAAGTAGCAGCAGCTCTCCCGATGCACTGAGATCAAGTGGTAGCAGTTTCATTGTTGCACCGAGTTCAAGTAGCGGCGGCTCTACTTTCTCACTAAGTTCAAGTAGAAGCAGCTCTATTGTCTTAACAAGTTCAAGTAGCAGCAGCTTTATTGTTGCAAGGAGGTCAAGTGGCAGCACCTTTAGTTTATCGTTGAGTAGTTCTATTGTCGCGCTGAGTTTAAGTAGCAGCAGCTCCACTGTCTCACTAATATCAAGCAGCAGCAGCTCTAGTGTCATACCACGTTCAAGTAGCAGCAGCTCTCCCGTTGCACTGAGTTCAAGTAGCAGCAGTTTCATTGTTGCACTGAGTTCAAGCAGCAGCTTCTCTACTATCTCACTAGTATCAAGCAGCAGCAGCCTTAGTGTCATACCAAGTTCAAGTAGTAACAGCTTTCCCGTTGCACTGAGATCAAGTGGCAGCAGTTTCATTGTTGCACCGAGTTCAAATAGCAGCAGTTCTACTGTCCCACTAACTTCAAGTAGTAGCAGCTCTATTGTCTCCGCAATTTCTAGCAGCAGCAGCTTTATTGTTGCAACAAAGTCAAGTGACAGTATCTTTAGTTTATCGTTGAGTAGCTCTATTGTCGCACTGAGTTTAAGTAGTAGCAGCTCCACTGTCTCACCAATATCAAGCAGCAGCAGCTCTAATGTTATACCAAGTTTAAGTAGCAGGAGCTCACCCATTACACTCAGTTCAAGGAGCAGCACTTTCATTTTTGCACCGAGTTCAAGTGGTAGCAACTTTAGCTTCTCGTCAAGTAGCCTTGTTGTTGCACGGAACTCAGGTAGCACCAGCTCAACTGTCTCACTAATGTCAAGGAGCAGCAGCTCCAGTGTCTTACCAAGTTCAAGTAGCAGCGGTTTTACTCTTGCACCGAGTTCAAGTGTCAGCAGCTTTAGTTTCTCCTCAAGTAGCTCCATTGTTTCACTGAGTTCAAATAGCAGTAGCTCCACTGTCTCACAAATATCAAGCAGCAGCAGCTCTAGTATCATAGCGAGTTCAAGTAGCAGCAACTCTACTCTTGCACTGAGCTTAAATAACAGCAGTTTCAGTTTAGTGCCGAGTACAAGTAGCAACAGCTCTACTGTTGCACAGAGCTCAAGTAGCAGCAGCTTCACTGTTGCACAGAGTTCAAGTAGCAGCAGCTCTACTGCCTTACTTACCTCAAGTAGCAGCAGCTCTAATGTCTTACCAAGTTCAAGTAGCAGCGGCTTTATTGTTGCATCGAGTTCAAGTGGCAGCAGCTTTAGTTTCTCATCAAGTAGCGCCATTGTTTCACCGAGTTCAAGTAGCAGTAGCTCTACTGTCTCACTAATATCAAGCAGCAGCAGCTCTAGTGTCATACCAAGTTCAAGTAGCAGCAGCTTTACTGCTGCACTGAGTTCAAGTAGCAGCAGCTTTACTGCTGCACTGAGTTCAAGTAGCAGCAGTTTCATTTTTGCATCGAGTTCAAGTAGCAGCAGCTCTACAGCTGCTCTGAGTTCAAGTAACAGCAGTTTCATTGCTGCACCGAGTTCAAGTAGCAGCAGCTCCGTTGTCTCAATAAACTCAAGTAGCAGCAGCTCTAGTGTTTTACCAAGTGTAAATAACAGCGGCTTCATTATTTCACCGAGTTCAAGTGGCAGCAGCCTTAGTTTCTCTTTAAGTAGTTTTATAGCAGCAAGCAGCAGCAGCTCTAGTGTCATAACAAGTCCAAGTAGCAGCAGCTCTCCCATTGCACTGAGTTCAAGTAGCAGCAGTTTTATCGTTACCCCGATTTCAAGTAGCAGCAGCTCCACTGTCTCACTAATATCAAGCAACAGCAGCTCCAGTGTCATGCCAAGTTCAAGTAGCGGCAGCTCCACTGTCTCACTAATATCAAGCAGCAGCTCCAGTGTCACGCCAAGTTCAAGTAGCAGCAGCTCGTCTGCTGTACCGATTTTAAGTAACAGCAGTTTTATTGTTGCATTAAGTATAAGTAGCAGCTACACTGTCTCACTAATGTCAAGTAGCAGCAGCTCTAGTGTCATACCAAGATTAAGTAGAAGCAGCTCTCCCGTTGCACTGAGTTCAAGTAGCAGCAGTTTCATTGTTGCATCAAGCTCAAGTAGCAGCAGGTCTGCTCTCTCACTAACTTCAAGTAGCAGCAGGTCTAATGTCTTACCAATTTCAAGTAGCAGTAGCTCCATTTTTGCATCCAGTTCAATTGGCAGTAGCTTTAGTTTCTCATTAAGTAGCTCTATTCTCGCACTGAGTTCAAGTAGCAGCAGCTCTATTGTTGCACCGAGTTCAAGTAGCAGCAGCTCTAGTGTCATACTAAGTTCAAGTATCAGCAGCTCTCGTGTTGCACCGAGTTCAAGTAGCAGCAGCTCTATCGTCTCACCTATTTCAAGTAGCAGAAGCTCTATTGACGCGCTGAGTTCAGGTGTCAGCAGCTCTATACTTGCACCGAGTTCAAGTAACAGCAACCTTAATGTCTCATTCACTTTAAGTAGTAGCAGCTCTCCTGTTGTCCTAAATCCAAATAGCAGCAGCTCCATTGTTACACTGGGTTCGAGTAGCGGTAGCTCTTCCATCTCAGTAACGTCTAGTGGCAGCAGCTCAATTGTTGCACCAAGCTCAATTAGCACGAGCTCTAGTGTCTCGCTAAGTTCAAATAGCAGCAGCGCTCCTGTTTTCCTGATTCCAAGTACCAGCAGCTCCATTGTTGAATTGAGCTCAAGGAGCAGCAGGTCCACTGTCACACTAACGTCAAGTAGCAGCACCTCTATTGTCACGCTTATTTCAAGTACCAGCAGCTCCATTGTTGAATTGAATCCAAGTAGCAGCAGGTCCACTGTCTCACCAACGTCAAGTATTAGCAGCTCTATTGGTAAGCTGAGTTCAAGTAGCAGCAGCTTCATTTTTGACCCAAGCTCAGGTAGCAGCAGCTCTCGTGTCTTACCAAGTTCAAGTAGCAGCAGCTCCATTGTCTCAATAACGTCAAGTACCAGCAACTCTATTGTCATGCTGAGTTCAAGTAGCTACAGCACCATTGTTGCACCGAGTTCAAGCAGAAGCAGCTTTACTGTCCTACTAAGTTCCATTACCATTAGCTCTCCTGTTGCAGTAAGTTCAAATAGCAGTAGCTCTATTGTTGTTTTGAATTCAAGTAGCGGTAGTTTCATTATCTCACTAACTTTAAGTAGCAGCAGTTCTACTGTCGGACTGAGCTCAAGTAGCAGCAGCTCTGTTGTTCCACTGAGCTTGAGTACCAGCAGCTTCGTTGTCGCAATCAGTTCAAGTAGCAGCAACTATTTTGTAGCACTGCTTTCAAGTAGCAACAGCTTCAGTGTCTTACCAAGTTCAAGTAGTATCAGCTCCAGTGTGGTATTGAGTTCAAGTTCCATTGCTTCACTAAGCTCAAGTAAGAGGAGCTCTAGTGTCAGTGGAAGCCACTCCAGTGTCTTGCCGAGTTCAAGTAGCCGTTTCTCATCAAGTTCGGTGTACAGTATTGCTCCAACCTCAAGTAGCCAACTTATCCGTATGTATTACGCCATTTATAAATTTGTCTCCCTTAAGAACAACATAACATGTCCCTGTCAGGTAGTTCAGAGCCACTGACCATAAATATCGAGAATCCGCCGACAGTTGCAAAATTTCGTAACTCATTTTGTTTTTTCTAAAGGACCTTTTCACTAAACCTTCTTCAACAATTATATTAAAACGCTCTATCGCGTTTTTTTTTTCAGAAAAATCGAAAAGTTCAAAATACGCCTAGATAGCCGTTGCCCCCCCCCCCCCCCTCCGTAAAACAGTGGAAAATTAAGCAATTTTGGAAACTTCGCACGCTACAACGCGACGCAATCCCACTTGTGCTGGCAGATGATCCTTTTATGTCTAGGAAAATATACATTTCTTGTTATGTAGTTCCGTTTAAGTCTGAATAGTGACCCGTTGAGATAAAGTACCTCGCGTCTTTTGCGCAGAGGTAAAAGAAAGATCAACTTCAGTGGCCTATAAAGAGGTCTGCCATATCTAATTTCCAAATCATGATATACACCACCATAAGGTTTATCCTGTTATTTTAATTCCTCCAGTTCTTCATCTTGGCCCGCCATAAGCGGCGCATCCAGGTTTCAAAGAGTTTGGGCTACTTCGTCAAAAATGGAATGCGAACCGCTAAACAGCTGTCACGACCCATATAAAGGCTTTAAAACGGTCTTTAACGATATATTTATAAATCAAAATATATATCATCTAAGAACTTTATCTTTGCAGTCTAATTCCTCAAAGTTTTTTCTTGGCCCGCGATAGGCGGCGCGTCCAGCTTGCAAAGAGTTCGGGCTAAAATGACAAAAAATGCGATCCGTTGAACGGCTGTCACGCAAGAGGCTTTGCATTTGATATATTCCTGGCCAGGCGGTATGCGCCCTCTGATTGCGTTGCATCATGGTCGTAAAACAAAAGTTGAGTCATTTGCATCTTGACGCGTTGGAGTGAACTTCTTCAGTGGCAGCGAGATAGCGTGAAATATTCGTTGATTGTAATGGGGATTCCCTGTCTGTTGCTGTTCCTTCGAAAGTTAAAAAGTTTAACGGGCTGGCTCGACTTTCCTTATTCCTCCGTGACAAATTCGTTCTCAGGAGGCAACTGACGTTACTAAGAAAGATTCGAAACTGCAATCTACCTAAGAAATTCGACACAAATGGCAATAGTTATGTTCACAGCCGATGGCAGGATGAGTAATTTCATAGTCAGAAATCATATTCACATACTCGAGTTAGTTAACAGGGAATTGGCCCTTGACATGCAAACGCAATTTAAAGTGACAGAGACCTTTTAACACACGAACTTTTTCCACCAAGCGTAAGTACGGGATTTTTCGTAGTTTTAGCCAGAACTCTTCTCAAGCTGGACGCGTCGTTTATGGCAGGCCAACAAAGAAAGGATGAAGCTTAAAGATGATGTGTATTTTGATATGATGTTATAGTTTGAAACCAGATCTTTTTAAAGGCCCTCAAATGAGTCGTAACAGCTGCTCAGCGGTTCCCATTGCATTTTTCACAAAATAACCCAAACTCTTTTAAAGCTGGACGCGCCGCTTATGCCGGGAAAAGATAGAGAATTGGAGGAATTCAAATACAAGGATAAGTGCTTAAGATGATGTATATTATGATTACTAAATATATATGGTAGGCCTCTACATAGGCCTCTGAAGTTGACCTTCATTTTACCTCTGCGAAAAAGACCGGCGCGAGGCACTTTAACGGGATGTTCTGCCGCGAAAAACATCACAGGAGTCATTTGTTGTTGACACGTTATTTTAATTAGCTTTGGCGCCTCAAAGAATTCACTTACGGTCAGTGGCTCTTAATTTATGGGTTTCCGCCACAGTACTATTCGATACATAGACGTTTTAGGTTACACAGAAGCCATTTCTTAGGAGTCGGGCTCAATAGACAATAAAACAAACAATGAAAAGCAGACGTGCTTACAGTTCTTTTCCTTCGTGACTTAGAATAGTTATTTGCTTACAGTTGTAACAAATTTAAAAGTACACACCTTTAAAAGCAACGCTCAAAGCAAATCTTCCCACTATCTTTTACTCGGTTTACAATTTTGAGATAAGTATCATTACATTACTTACACTTGGTTCTATCTAATACCAACGATATGCTCCTGAAATTATTGTAAAGCTTTCGAAGTTATTACTTTTAGGAACAAAAAGCATAACACACTGTAAGTACTACATCGTATAGGCGGATTCATGCTGACGTCATTGTTTACATTTTTGCTCATTTGCATACGGCTTTGCGTAAAGAAGGAAGCATGTTAGATACAAATTGACTTCAGGCAGCTAAAGAGCTAGAAAACCTCAGTACATGGTGAAATTTTTAGCTCTTTGGGTGTAATATTCAAGGAGAAATAGTCCATCAAAAACTGCAAAATTTCTGGGTGGCAAAAGCGCTAATGAGCTCATACATTCTATGTAAAATTTTGAGTTTTTAAACCCGTGTTGCACAAAAAGTATTCAATGCATCAGGCTCGTATTCATTGGCCGAGTTAATCGTACTTTGACCTTTCGATATTCAGAACTGATTTATTTTTAGCTCCATCAGAAACTGAATTGCTTATGCTAATGAGGCAAATATTGTAAACAAGGATTCCCCTATAGCAATGGATGTACCANAATATCGCAATTATCGTGATACATCGGCGATGTTTTAGCGATATTTCATTCGGAACGATATATCGGCGATATATCGCAGGGCTATTGTTTTAACACCCGCGATATATCGCTGAGCTCCTAGTGAATTATCGTTTTCCTTGCGCGATATATCGTTTCGCTGAGCGATCCGTCGTTTTCCTGAGCGATATATCGTTTGATCTCAGAGATAAATCGTTTGAGCACAGCAATATATTTTTTTGCAGTTCAGCGATATATCGTTTTCGCCTCCCTGATATATCGTTTACATCCGACAAGGTATCACTGCCGTCTAACGATATCTCATTTACACTTAGCGATACATCCTTACAGCTTAGCGATATATCGTTTGCGGTCGGCGAGATATCGCCACCACCAAGCGTTAGATCGGGTGTGACAACATTTGGGGCAGTTAGCTACGTATGAAGTCGGTTCGCCAATGTCGGAGTTCGCCAATGTCGGTTCGCCAACGCTTATATGTCAGTTCGTCAACTTCAAAAATAATTGTTGAACAGAGGTCTGAAATATATTTACAAATGACCGTAGGAACATTCTTTTATGTGTGATATATTCACAGGTGTTCGTAGGTTAGTATCGTTTGAAATTGTCCGTTGCTCTCCCTAATCTCTCTTCCCCCCACACATCGCAACAAAGTCATACCTAAGCAAACTCCGTTTTCCATCGATGATCGATCGTGTTTGAAAAACTTTTAGAGTGTGAACCGGCTGTAAAACCCCTTAATATAAATAATTGCGTAGTTAATGAGCGGAATGTATTTGTTTGATTACACGCAGAGAAGTGTTGTTCGTTATTCACTTGTTGCACTCGCATAGCAACAAAGTCAAACAAAGCCCGTTGTTCGATCGATGGCCGACCGTGTTTGAAAAAACCTTCCAACCCATCCACGGCTTCTTGCTGTGTAGAGTAAGAATTGCCTTAGAGCCTTTTTTATTAAAAATTTGCGTCGTTAAAGAGCTATTTATTCTGTATATTAGTTGACCACGTGAGTAGAAGTATTGTTTATTATTCCCTTGTTGCACTCGCAAAGGAACAAAATCAAACAAAGTCCGTCGATCGATCGATGGGCAATCGTGTTTGAAAAAGCAGCCTTGGATTTTTACCCTGTGGAGCATAAAATGCCCTTATAAGCTGAGCGTAGTTAACTTAAGAGCCATTGAGTCCAAATATATTTGTTGATTGCGCCTGTAGAAGTATTGTTCATTGTTTACTTGTTGCACTCGCATAGCAACAAGGTCAAACAAAGTCCGGTGTTCGATCGACGGCCGACCGAACTTATCCAAAGCTCTTTACCCTTAAGGGTATGAAGTGCACTTAAAACCTTTTACTTAAACATTCGCGTCACTGAAGAGATATATATTCTAAATACATTTGTTTGATTGCGTGCGTGGAAGCGTAGCTATAACTAGCTTCATTCTCTGTTGTGAATTATGCGATATAATAGTAAAGTACGCGAAATTCATTGAATAAGTCACCGATGTACATCTTATTTCATTCATGTTTTAATTCAAAGCAACCCCAATGCCGAACAACTTGTATCCTTACGGTCCATCTCAGAAAGATAATGAACTTCGTCTTGAAGATACTTCTTTCTACTCCTACTAATGTTTGAGGATCAACACAGATTGGACTGGATTTCCGTTTTTCACAGAAAGGCATTACAAATTATACCTGAGTATAAAACTGTCCTATTAGAAACATTACCGAATTTTTTTTGTTCTTTCTAGTCTTTAATTTCAACTTCAAGATATGGTTATTTTCTAGTACATCATCACAAAATACCTGCATTGTGCATCAAATGCAAATGTGCTACACCTCAGTTAAAGAACAGCCGGTTTTTCGATTCATCTTTTTCATTTTTTTTTTCTTTTTTTGCCAGATGATACTCGACAGCCGAGGGTGAGAGTAATTTACCGAAGTAATACTTATTCTGGTATTTAACTTGCAATGTTATAAACCTGCTCATATCTATCATCCCTTTTCCCCTATTTTTAGATTTGCCGGAATGGTGTCATCCAGTTAAATTATGAGTGGAGCTGGTGGTGGCCTCGGAAATTTGGTATCTAC